CCGCCGCGCGCCCCCTGCTCCCTCGCTCGTTCGCTCGCTCGCTCGCCGGCTTTAAAGTCTCTGCCAGGATCCATGCTCACATGTTACTTCCTGTATGGAGGCATGGCCAGTTTCCAGCCCCGCGCTCCGCGATCCTGCCCAGCCTGCGCCCGAGCCACAACTTTCAGGAGCATGGACTGAAGGCGCCCTCGCCCCAGCGCCCCTCTGAGAGCCTCGGCGTTTTCCTTCCTTTCCGCCGGCCGTTTCTATTTTGGGGGGCTCTTCGCTTCCCCCGCCACTTCCCGCCCCTTCCCCGATTGCAAACATGCCTCCTTCCTTTCCCGGGCCCTGGAAGGAGCTGCCAGCCTGAAGCTGGGAGACGCCGCGCCGCGTTCCACGCCGCCGCCGCCGGGTCTTGGGCTACGCTGCGCTGCCGACTCAAGTTGGGGATCCTCGGCTGCTCGCTGCCGCCCGCGGTCCCTGCCAGCCCGGAACGAGGGACAGCGTCGCCGCCCGCCGACCCCTCGCCCAGTCCGCTCGGCTCGCTCCTTTTTCCACGGCAAGCAGCCCTTCGCCGCCGAGAGGATCGTCCCCAGCGCTGCTGCACGTTCCCGGTTACTTTTTGAGCTTTTCCGAGCGGCGCTTGGCGGCTTCCTGGCTTCCAGGGGGACTCGGGCTGCCCAGCGCGGCTTACCCGCGGAGCTGGCGAGCGCGGGCAGCGCCCGGGCTTAGCGGAGGCTGGTACCGAAGCACGAACTTATTCAACAAGTTTACCCCCCTGCCGCCTCCCTCTTTTCGATGTGCGTTTTCGGACATGCGGAGGTTACTGGAACCGTGTTGGTGGATTTTGTTCCTGAAAATCACCAGTTCTGTGCTCCATTATGTCGTGTGCTTCCCGGGTGAGTGCTGGCCGCCGAGGGGACGGGGCCCCAGCCGGCTGCTTGGGGATGCGGAGTTGTTGCTGGGGCTCCGTTCGGGCGCGCGTCCCGGGGACCCCGGAGCGGGTGGCTGGGACCGGGCGCCCGTGGGGAAGAGAAATTATCTTCGTGGGAGTCTGGCGGCGGTGTCTTGTTTTTTGGGGTGGTTTTTTTTTTGTGTGTGTGTGAAGGGCCGATGGTAGGGGAGGGTGGAAGCAGGGCCGGCCGGAGACGGTTCGGGGGCCGCGGGGTCCTGTTGCTGCTCAGGTTGGGGGGACCTGGGGTACTGGGGCTGGGAGACAAGAACTCGCTCCGCTGATGTGCCGCCGAAGGGGAGAAACCCAGCTGTGGGGCAGCTGGGGAGACTGGGGCTGCGGGAGACAGCTCTGTAGGTTTTAAAGCGGGAGGTCGGGGTGCGCCCCTCGCTTCGTGGGGCTCGACGGAGCTGGGGGTGGGGCTGGTGTTTTCCCGCTCTCCGACCCTTTGGGGAGACTAAGGCTTGGGAGATGGACATGAGATGACCACTAAGGGGTCTGGGGAGCCGCCTGCGTTCTGGTCTCGGGGGTCGACCGCGCTCCCCCGTTTGGGGCTCGGACTCGCGCCGCGCTTCGGTGCTGGCTCCAGACCGCGTCCTCGGGCGCGGGGCCTGGGTGCTGCGAGGACCGCAAGTGCGAGGTCTCGGAGCAGCGGGTTCTCTGCCCGGTGCAGCCGCCTGGTTCCAGGCGCTGGGGGCGGGTGGGCTGCGGGGCCGCCGCTCGCGCCGGGGCGGATTTTTCCTGTCTCGGGAGCCCTGCCTACCTTTCTCTTTCTCCCTTTTGCAGGCTGTTCG